TAGAGGCTGCCCACATTCCTTGGCTCGTGGCCCCATTTCCAAAGCCAGGAATGGACAGTTAGGTCTTTTTCATATCACATAACTGACTCACTGCCTCTTCTGCCTCTGAGCTCTTCTGCATTTAAGTACTCTTGCATTTGTAACTGGGCTCACCCAGATAATCCAGGATCATCTCCCTGTTTTAAAATCAGTTGATTAGCAACTGTAATTCCATCTGCTTATTTAATTCTCCTTTGCTATATAACATATTCACTGGTTAATGGAGTTAGGACATAGACATCTTTGAGAGGCCATTATTCTGCTATGACAGGTAGGATAGAGCAGATTATAGTAGCTTTAAATGCAACCATTGAAGATTCTTGATCAAAGGAATGGCATGATGAAAGCAGTGTTTTGGGAAGTTTCATCTATAGTCTATATGCTATCTAGAATATAGGACTGGAAAGAAATCAGCAACTCTTGAGTTGTCTTTTCAGCTTTACTATTGATCCTCTCTCCTTCTTTCCTTCCCTCCTTGTTTCTTTTTCTTCTTTTTTTCCTCTTAGAACAGTTTATATTCATAAATCCTTAATCAGAGAGAATTAGTTGTTCTGAACAATGATACAGCCACTGTTTCAGATTCTATTCACTCTAAGGCCATTTCGTCATGTTATGGAAGGAATACCAGGCTAGCAATCAGGAAACCTGAGTTATGGTTCAAACTTTGTCAGTATTTTGATTTTAACCCTAGGGTTATCCTTTAGTCTCTGTGTTTCAATTCTCCATGTTAGTAATTGGGCTCATTTGACATGCCCATGTGACAGGGATATGAATTTAACCTTATTTAAAAAAATGTAGCTTTTTGTTTGGTTGTAAAGAGTAACTGGCTTATACTTCAGAACTTCTTTTTCCTTTTGTATCTTGAAGAACCAAGAATCAACAAAAAATAAAAAGATCAATGATCCATGCCTTCTTGACCTACTCTCCCCATCCTTTTTTTCCCCTACAAATGGAAGTCAGTGCAATTTATGTCATAGCACATCAGGTAATGTTTTACAGACTTTTTTCAAGAATAGGCTGTTACTAGGCTATGAGAGTCTTAAAATCCTCACTTTGGGGAAGATAATTTTAATTTAGTTGAATGATTTTGTGGAAGATGGTTATGCATATGAAGGAATACTCAGATTTCACTTATGCTTTATAAATAGCAAAACAGACCACCGGTAAAAATCCTAAAATGTTTGTGATTCATAATTCAAAACTGTTCTGAGTTTGTAAACTTTCCCTTGGTTTATATTAGATCAAAAGAAATAAAATTCTAACCTTTCCCCTCTGTTGTTGCTCTATCAAAAATTTCTTAGCTATAAAAAAGAAAAATATATATGTGGGTCTTACAGTATGAAGGTTCCACCTGAATGATACAGCGAGCATTGCCTCAGTACATGTGACTCTTAACAGTAAATGTTTTGGTACAAGTTACAAATGTGAGCCATATATATAATTTAAAAACTTCTAGTTACCACATTCAAAAAAGTAAAAAGAAATGCTTGAAGTTAATAATATATTTTAATATATCCAAGTTATCAATATGTAATCAATATAAGAAATTATTAATGAGCTACTTTACATTCTTTTGTATTTAGTCTTTGAAATCCAATGTATATTTTATACATAAAACACATCTCAATTTGGACTAGCCACATTTTAAGTAATCAGTAGCCACATGTGGCTGACAACTACTTTGTTAGACAATGCAGGTCTAACTGCAAAGGTATCTTCATAATCATTGCATCAAATGTTAGGGCCTTTCCTTAAAGCTGTCTATGCTGCCATGTCTGATCCCTGTATGACAGTGCCTCCTCCCTGCGCCCTGCCCAAACTTCTCCTTCACAGTCTCACTCTGGTCCTCACATCATACCATATTGTCCTCTTTAAGACATTTCCCCCTTTTAGGTTGTATATTCCTTTCTCCTTTACTCTGTCAAGGCCTCCTTGCATGTTTTGCTGAGATTCTCACAAAAGAATCTCACTTGTACCATTAACAATATGGCCTCCCACCTACCTCCACAAAAAATGTGTTAACAGTAGAAGAAATGTAAGCTGATCCCAACAATATCTATACCGTGGGGAAATGAAATGAAGTTCTTCCTCCTCTTAGGAAAAGTTAGGAATCCCTGATAATAGTGGGGTCTGAGTACTATAGGAAAATGTAGTCAGGAGTATGCTACTTGTAGGCTTTGTGTCTATGGTTCTGTGAAATGTAGAATGAGAATTGTGTGTTTTGCTCTTACTAACACTTTGGATTTAACCAGTCCCAGAAGCCAAAATGTTAAGTAGTTATCTCAGAAATGGGATATAAGTATACAAGTTCAATTTTGCTGACCAGGTTAGAGCAAGCAAAAGGCCATAATCACAGTTTCTTGTCACACCATTCTGCCTCTTTCTTTCCTCTTTATAATTAGTTCTTTGGATTTATATTTCCAAGGTATTTTGTAGTCATGTATTGTTTATCTCTTACAATGCATTGTTTAGCCCCAATTTATAAATGCATGGACATGCAGTGATTCAGTTTATTCGGTTTTTGCAAAGTAACTCAAAAAGTCAATGCCAGAAATCCGAAATTGAAATGAAGAAAACAATTCCATTTATAAAGCATAAAATATTTATGAATAAATTTAACAAAAGAAGTATAAAACTTATACTCTGAAAACTGCAAAACATTGTTGGAAGAAACTAAAGATGATCTAACTAAATGAAAAGACACCCCATATTCGTCTTTTTAATATCATTAAAATACTTCCCAAATTGATTTACATATTCAACACAATCCCTTTTTTGGGCGGGAAGATAGAAATCGACAAGCTGATCCTCAAATTCATATGGAAACCCAAGGGACCCAGAATAGTCAAAATGATTTTGAAAAACATGAACAAAGTAATAAGATTCAAACTTGCTGGTTTCAAAACCTGTAATAAAACCATAGTAATTCAAAACTGATACTGTCATACCACTGGACTTGCAAGTGATAGCAGATTTCTCTCATGGTCTCTGAGTCTCTTGAGTTATTCTAAACTGATAGACAAGCCCACTTTAGGCTTTTAAAAATTTGTTTGAAATTTAGCTGATACCTTCTCACCTGTTTGTGTGGTGACCACTTCTTCCCATGATTTGCCAAAGGCAAAACAGTTTATGTGTTGTTTTTCTTCGGAGGTGCGTGTCATTCTTTTGGGTTTCAGTTTCCTTGGTTGTTTTGCATACTCAGCTGTCTGATGAACTCAAGAGTTATGATTTTATTGATCATTGGTCTTTTCTCGTTATGGTGGAAGGAATATTTTCTTCCTGCTTTCTATATCCTAAGCAGAGTAGAAATAACATGGTGGTTTGCCTGTAATAGATTCAGCACTCAGTTAACATTTGTTTGAAGTAGGTTGATTTCATTGAATACTTGAGGTGTGCTTTGTCATCCCTTTTAATCCACATTCCTATGTATGAGGTGCAGGTACTATTATTTTTCCTATATTTTTAGATATAAAGCTGAAGCTTAGTGGAGAAAAGGAAGTAGAGGCATAGTGATAAATATTTCTGTTGATTTTACCTCAATCGCCTTCTTCCTGCCATTCCTCCCAAATAAAATTCTTGAATCCATTTTTTACTTCTGCCACTAAAGGAGATACATCCTTGGCACTAAAAGTTCTCATTTTCTCATTTAATGAGAAAGGAGGAACAGTTGAGAGACAGAAAGCTTGAAGGGACTAAATCTAGTTGGACTTTTGATCTAATGGGAGAGGACACTGGTTCTGAAGGCTGTGGTGGTCAGTACTAGCATCTAAGTTTTATAACAAGTGAATGGCAAGGTGACTGTTATGGCTTCACTGCCACTTTCCATTTTTTCCTTTTCCTTCTCCTGCTTCTACTGTGAAATAGTTAATAGCTTTATGTTTTTTCACAGAATAGTAGAATTTTAAGATTTTTCATTACTATTAATTCCTTTTCTAACCTGCTATGTGTGAATTCCTTTAGGTAGCTCTCATTCTGGGGACCTTAAATGTAATTACTTGTATCACTTACATTATTTGTCTTTTAACAGATTTCTTTGTAAACTACATTAACAAAAGGTAGACTAAAAAAGTATTTCCATTTTTAAAAATTTTGTTCTGTTTTTGTTCACTTCCAGAAAAAAAACCATGACATGAGCCTGATCAATAAGCTCAAATAAAACAAATGTTGTTCATTCATCTCTTCAGCTATTTTCTGAAGTTTGTTTTCCAAGATGTACAATTTGTAACTCACCACATTAATCATTTTACATTTTCTCACATGCTTGTTGATAGATGCAAGTTAAGTTTCATGCATTGCCTGTCTTTGCTGGAATTTCAGCACCTTTTCAGAAGTATTCCACATGGATAGGATAAACTGGGTGATAGACCCCTGGTCATTATTATATTAATGAATAGTATTAATATTGAGACAGTGCTGAAGGTTAAGAAATGGAACATGGGGACAAAGATGAGGATTGTTAGGCTGGAGGAAGGAAATACAAGGATATGCAAACAGAACAGAGAGATACTATAAAAGGAGAACAGACCAGACCCCAAGGTCCGTGCCTTATATGGAGAGGGGACAGCTCTTCCTGAATTCCATCCTTCTGATGTGCCAGCTAAGACCCGGATGTCAGCCTCCTCCTTCTTGGAAGGAAAAAAAGTTTCTACTTGTCTATTATGTCACCTTTAGCCAATCATACCTCTCCACGCCCCCTAGGATAGCTTCCCACTCCTCCCCCTCCTAACCTCTTATAAGCCCCCACCTCCCTGACTGGGTGTGACTTCCCCAGCCTGTGATAGCCAGACCGTGGAACATGACCCAGGAATTTGCGCTCAAATAAACTACCTGGCCCTTTGTTGCCTCTCTTCGCCTGCTTATTTCGGCTAGAATTTATCTTACAAGGATTATTTGTATATGGTAGAATATTTCATAAAACTCTGGCTTGATATATTTAGTCACATATGCTTCCTCTTTGCTAGTTATCAGGGAATATGAAGAATAGAGAAAACATCCAGGAACCTAGATTTGATTATTACAACCATGAAGTTTCTGATATTGACCTCAGTGATTGTGAATTCCCACATGTCATTGAAATTTATGACTTCCCCCAAGAATTTCGTACTGAAGACCTCCTACGGATTTTCTGCAGTTATCAGTAAGTATTTGCAAATGGTTGGGGATGTTAGGAAAAGTGGGATGAAGTTTTTAAAAAATGTCTTCTGGCAGCAGACCCACAGAACCCAAGAATGGACTAACAATTACCAAGGGGAAAGGGACTGGGGAGGGTTGGTGGGAAGGAAAGGATAAGGGGGGAAATGGGGCATTACAATTAGCACACATAATATAGGGGGAGTGACATGGGAAAAGCAGTATATACAGAGAAGACAAGTAATGATTCTATGGCATCTTACTATGCTGATGGACAGTGGCTGTAATGGGGTATGTGGGGGGGACTTGATAATGGGGGGAGTCTAGTAACCATATGTTCAAGTAATTGTACATTATGATATCAAAATTAAAAAAGCTTAAAGTCTTTTGAAAAATCATCTCTTCTGTTTTTCATATTCCCTTTTGTGTAATTTAGCATCAAGTTTATTGTCTTTTCCAAACCCATTAGAAATCTGTATCAAACTTTGTCTTCTAAGTTCCTCAAAAATGCCAAACAGTCTTGCTTGACCTCATTTTAGCATTAAGAAGAACATCATCAGTGATGACTTCTGAATCTGTCTTTATGGTGCATTTAGTTCATTTATATTATTTTAATTACTGATATGTTTGGGTGTATGCCTGCCATCTATTGTGTCCCATCTTTTTCTTTTCTTTCTTGCCTTCTTTTGGATTGCTGAGGTATTTTTTTCTCATTCCATTTTTTAGGAAATGGTACTCTGTTTCTATTCTTTGGTAGTTACTTTAGAAATTACAAAATGCATGCTTAACTTGTCAGTGGCTAAAGTTAACATAATCACACTGTTTTCCAAACACTAGAAGGGCTTTTAATTCCATCCTTTGCCTCCATCCCCAAATAATACAGTATTGTGATTATTTTGATTCTTTTGTTTTCTTTTTGTGTAAGTCTGTTGGTAAGAAACTCAGTTGGGTTTTTTGTTGTTGCTTTTTTAATGGCTTTATTTCAACTTCATTCTTGAAAGACATTTTTGTTAGGTATAGAATTCTTGGTTGGCAGGTATCTTTCTGTCAGAAACATGAAGATTTTGTTCTCCTGTTTCCCATCTTTCTCTGTGGAGGATGAGAACCCACCTGAAAATCTAACAATTGTCATTTCTCAATGTAATGTGTTTTTTCTTTGGATGCTTTTAAAGTTTTCTCTTTGTCTTTGGTATTGTGCATTTTAAGTATGATGTGGCTTTGTGTTTCTTTTTGTTTATTCTTCTTGAGATTATTTGGGCTTCTAAAATCAGTGAATTAAATGTTTTTCATTGATTCTGGAGAACACTCAGATATTATCTGTTCAAATATTGCCTCTGCCAATCTCCCTCTTTTACCTTCTCTAAGATGCCAATTAAATATATATTAGACATTTTTACTTAATCCTCATTAATATCTTTTTCAAATTTTATACCTTTTTGTTACAGTCTGAATAATTTCTTTGCTCTAATTTCTAGTTCATTTTTTCTTCAGCTGTGTTTAATTGGATGTTACATCTATCCATTGAGTTTTGTTTCCAAATATTTTCAAGATCTAAAAAATTTCTTAAAGTATATTAAAATGAATCTTTGGTAGTCTATGTCTGATAATTCCTTTACCTGAAGTCCTTTTAGTTTTCTTTCTGCAGATTCTTGCTCGTAGTGTGTAATTTGTAGAGTTTTAGTTAATTTTTTTACTATGGGCCTACCATTTTCTTTGGAATTTCATTTATGGGAATTGAGACCTACAATAAAAGAAGAGGATTTCTCCTGAGAGGATATGTGTTTTCTTCTGCCAAGCACTAGGGCCCTAATAGTCCAGTGCCCTTACAACTTAATATAACTATAAATTAAATCACTGACTTGAGGTTATTCTGACCACTGAGATAGAAATAGTCAAATGGAGAATGTAAAAAATGATAGTTATATGTCTCCGTTAGTTTATTTTAACAACACATATAAATGTGCATTCACTTGCCTGTCTTTGATGTGCTACCAAGGCTTTTTGGCCCCCAAGTTATTGGTATATTGACAGAAGAGTTGTTGTTATCACCCTCATAATATATCACCTACAAGTTGCATTTCTTTACACTGGAGCAAGAACTTTACCCTCAGAGTCAATCTGAGTGCATATTCTTTCTATGTTAAAATATTTTCTGTGTCTTTTATAGCTGTTTTGCCAAACATGATTGATAAACTTTGGGGTTTTTTTTACTCCACTTTTCTCTAGTCTTCCAAAGTATTCAGTTAAGTTATTATAGACACAACAACTCTTCTTTTTCACATTTATATTTCATTGTTTTAATTTTAATTAATTAAATTATGTAGTGAAAATATAAAGCTGATAAAAGAGGGGTTTGAGAACAATTATGCTATAACTCTTGTTATGTATATAGTTCATACATATATAGGAGAAGGTAAAAGAGTCAAAAGTGTGTCTCTAGCTTATAAGAAAAAATAAGGTTCTGGAATAAATAAATAATTAAGAAAGTAAGAATAAGATTTTCAGGGTCTAGAAGAAAGTCAATACCACAAAGGATTATACTTTAATGCTACAATCCTTATACTAAAAGTGAACCAGGTTTATTGTCTGATATTAAAAATTTAAATTTAAAATTTATGTACATATTAAATTTATAAGATTCTGTATCAGAGTCTAGCCCTCGAGTATGGCTATATACATTGAAACTTTATGTACAAAAACAAGTATCCTGTTTTGCTATAAAATTCCAGAACAGGCAAAACTAGCTAGCAGCCATGCATCTCACTTAACTTTGGTTGGGGAGCAGTATCAGTTTTATAACTAAAAGAAGAGATGACTGGATCCTGGAGGACAGTTAATCTCTGCCATACACCTTACTCTAAATATACAGTGTAGGTCAGTCTAATTGATTACAGTTATGTTAAGACCCAGGATTGGGCCTATTTTATATGAAATACATAATATATTTTAGAAAGCAGTCAATGAAATCAAATCCCAAATTAGAACTACCTTGATTTTTAGAACCAAGGATCAGTTTTGTTGATGTTTAGAATTTCCTGAAGAGTAGTTCATTCCTACGAATTAACTTCCATTTGCTTTGTTTTCTTTATTTTACCTGTAAGATATGTTTTATCAAACCCAAAAACATTCCCAAAGAGGAGAAGTATTTTGAAGGATTATGAAATTCTGAAGTCTCAAAGGCCCTCCAGAGCCCTTCTAGGTATTTTTCTTTCCTTTTTGTAAGCTATTTTATAACATAGGCTCTTCTACTATTGAATGTTTCCCAGTCTTCAACTCCTGCGGTCATTTTATGCCATGGTCAAACTTACCCCTACAGTCAGGAAATTCTCTTAACCAACCTTCGAAGACCCCATTACTTCTTTTTCCCTGAGAGGAATTTTTTTTTTCTTCACTTGTTAAAGAGGTTAGCAGGTTTTCTTTTTCTTTATTGTGCTTTATAAAAATAAAGAAAAAGTCATAGTACAAAAGCCTATAATAATGCCTATGAGTCAAACACCAGAGTCAGCTTCATGTTTTGATCATCTTCATCAACATTAATAACCTTCATGATGAATATTGCTATTAATAATAAAAAAATAATGAGCACCATTCATTTCTTAAATGTGCACTAAGTGCTCAACACCCAGCTCATTGCTTTGTCATGGACAATCTTGTTTCCATTTTCGCAACTCTGTTAGGAAATTAGTAATATAGATGAGCAGACCTGGCTTCAAGAGAGGTTAAACTGGCCAGAGGTGATAGAACCTGGTCCAGAGCAGTTTTAAGCTGCTGACTGAAAAACGTAATACTGTTGTGTCATCCTGATAGTCCTTGTGCTCCTGCTTCAAAATAAAAGTTTATTTTTAGTACTTCATGGTCATTCTTCTGAGTCTTTCTAATCTGGTCTGATATTTCTTTTGATTTCTTTTATCCTGAATTTTTCTGACTTTGCCACAATTCTTTCCTATTTTCCCTTTCTTACTTTGCTTCTACAACTAGAACAACTAAGTCAGTCACTGATTATAGTTGCCCTTTTTCTCCATTGCTTTTTTTTTTCTTTGAATGACCTGTCTTCCTCTCCTTCTCTGTCTCTGCCCTTGAGCCTATATTTGCATTAAATCCAAGTGACCTTCCCTGTCTACCTTCTCCTCTAATACTCTTCTACCCCTCCTCTGCTTCCTCTTTCCATCTCTTCTTGTTCTGTGCCCATAAGAACATCTCTTGTAAATAGTGTGATAAATACTTTACCTCCCCAAGGGACATGTGAGGATTAATTAGTTGATGTCTATAAAATGGCTGGGAACGTAAAATACTCCCAGGTAGTTCTTTATGATGGTATTATTGCTTTTAAAATTCAGTGGCTTCTCCTGTCCTCCAAGCTGTTTTTTCGTGTCATTATTCCTATTCCACCTGTGCGCTTGCTGAGTGTTTTTCTTTATCTCATAATGAAATGCTTTATGAGACTCTATTTGAAAGATGTTTCATAAAAGTAAATTTTATTTTAAGAAATAACATTGTGTTCTTCTGTTGCAGTAAGAAAGGATTTGATATTAAGTGGGTGGATGATACACATGCCCTCGGAGTGTTCTCCAGTCCAGTCACAGGTATTTACCCAGTGGATTCTTTTCTTATTGTGCATTTTCTCCTGCTGCTTGTCCATATTTCCTTTCTATTTCAGCTGCCTGGCATTTTATTCAGCCAGTATAGGTAATGGACAGATACAGGTTTTGAGGCATGTACCCATATACTCCGCCTCTCCCTTTTTACCTTAATCTGGTGGTATTTGAAGAGAGTCTCCAGAATGCAAAGGCATTCAGAGAAATTAGAATTGTTGGTGCCTGTCTGGACCACCTAGAATAGGGGTCTGCAAACTTATTTTGTAAAGGGCCTAATAGTTAATATTTTAGGATATAAAGTTTCTGACAGTTTCTAACTGCTGTTGTAGCAGGAAAGCATCCTGAGACAATATGCAGGTGAATAGGCATGGCTCTGTTTCAGTAAAAAAGGTAGCTGGCTGGATTCGGTCACCAAAGCCATAGTTTGCTGATCCCTGATCTAAAAGTAATCACTGCCAAGTTATTCCTTATGAATTTTCTAGAGTTACCTCTTCTTTTGCTTGCCATAAAAAAAAAACATAACATCTAGGCAATGCTTTCTAAGAACTAGTCTTAAATTTTTCTTTGCCTCACTCTTCTTAATGTCTTCTACTTCCTTATATTTATTTCTCTTTGCAGCTCGTGATGCTCTGGGTAGTAAACATACCATGGTGAAGATCCGGCCCTTGTCACAGGCCACAAGAGCAGCCAAGGCGAAGGCTAGAGCTTATGCCGGTAAGCCTGTAAACTCAGGGCCTTTTTCTTGTTGGTAGTGGTGGGATTGTTTTGTCCAGCACTTGTATAGCATGCAGAGTTCTGTAAACATATCACTTTTATTTTTAGTATTAAAGGGAGTATGATTTTAAGGAAAAATGAAAAGAGAAAAGGCTATGTTGGCATTTGAGCAGCCACTTGAAGAGAGTAGGAGATATAGCCAAGCAATGCAGCAACCATTTTCTGATGACATCCTTATCTAGTTTACCTCTGTGTTTAGCTGTTTGATAGAGTCACTGTAAGATATTGTGTTAATACAGATAATGAAGCCATGGTTGTTTGTGCTTTGCCTTGTTAATTTCCTCTGATCATCATTTATCAGGCTTGTATTAATTACTGCTGATGCAGCCCTTGTTAGTCTATTTTGTTTGTTAATTACTGAGTTAAATCACTTGGAGCTTGAGTGCTTTTTCTTCCTCACTTCCTGCTACTCCCTCCCTTTCTCCCATCCAGAGTTCCTCCAGCCAGCAAAGGAGCGTCCTGAGACTTCAGCAGCCTTAGCCCGAAGGTTAGTCATCAGTGCCCTTGGGGTTCGAAGTAAGCTGAGCAAAACAGAACAGGAAGCAGAGCTCAGGAAACTGCAAGAGGCCCGAGGTGAGTTTGAAGTGATGGTGTTCTTCTCTAGGCCCTTTAGAGCTCACTGTGAGGCATGTGTAAAAAAAAGAATGAATGAATGACACCATACTATTTTGCAATTTCCATTAACTTGAAGCCTCCCAAGTGTATTGAAATTGTTTTCATGCCTTGTATTTGGGAGGAAGACATTTCTGGATTTGCCTGCCATCCCACATGCCCAGTCATCCTAATTTCACACTCCTGCTGTTGCTTTTCAAGAGAGAGGTTCAGTCTTCCTAGCTCATCCATGGCTTTTTCTATAGTTCTTGCTCCAAACTCTTGAGAAACATTTTCTTGTGCAGGCATGATAGTCTCTTGGGCAGAAAACATTATTTGCTGTGGCTTTACTGGGCCATGATTGCCGGTATTATCAGATGTTTTAGATCGTAGGAGGTAGAAGACAAATTAAGGAAAAGCCAGCAACTGGCATTGATGATAATAACCATGGGAGGAATTTTTTTTCTTTTAAGACAGTCTTGAATGGCTCCATTAGAGTACTTCTAGATTAACCTAGCTTCTGATTATTTTCCATTACCTATGAGTTCTCAGAAAATATTTTGATTGATCCACAAGCTGGATTTTTCTTTCCCTATAGTTTGGAGTTGAAGTTAAAAATCTGTCTCTCCCCCTTTATATGCTGTTGACTGTATGTAAAGGCTTGGGACTCAGCTTTGCACTTAAGTACTTTTATCAGCCTTCAGGCTTTAGACAGTTTCATTGCCTTAGCCCACGATGGGTGGAATCTGTGAAAGCAATTTATTCTGAAAATTCCACTTACCAAAAAGTAACTTCATTTTTCCATTAAACGAATTGAAGTTTCAAACTCCTAGTTCATTGCCTGTCTAACAAGGCCATTAATACTTCCTGTCCGCTCTGCTTTGGTGATAGCAGGCAGCTTGTGGACTCTCAGCTGCTCTGACTAGATAACCAGTGACAGAGTGTATCCTAGCAAGTGCTAGAGTTTCAGAGTTGAACCCAACTAATTTATGAAAGCTTAATGATTATAATGAGGCGGTTTTGATTTTTCCAATGAATGTATTGTTCACTCCAAGGCCTCTTACAGACTACAGAAACAGGGAAGATCCCTCTAGTTTTTATAGATGGCAGTAACAGGACTAGATTAAAGGGAATGTGCAGTGTCCTAATCCTTTATTAATTGGTTACCTCTGAGGAAAATGATTTCTCTGTGATAACCACAATTATCTCAGAAGATCAATAGAGGGTAATAACAAGAGTATCCAGAAAAGGAGATAGACTCTCTTTGCAATCTATCATGCTTCCCTCTGGGTGTAATTTCACCTGTATATCTGCAGGTACTGCAGCGATAGTTTTGTACGGATATCATCTAAGGGGTCCCCTCCATTTCTCTGAAGGTACATTAGCATGCAGTGCTACTTGAAGTATTTGTTTTATGTGCCCAGCTATACAAAGGACATTTCAGTGATGAAATTAAAGGTGAGACTTGGCTAAGTGGATACCCTGTTACTTAACATCTTAAAACAAGGCTTTTAGTTGTGAATAGAGACCCACTGTGATAAGTTCCTCCTATACATTGGTGCTGAGGCTGTATGGGTTATAGAGGACTCATCCTTTATTATGTTCTGCCATTTTGATATCTGAGAGAACACAAACGGAAAACTCCTGATACATCTTTGTGGCTTCTTTATGCATTGAGCAGATATTGTTGTACTGCCTTCATGTTGCCCAAGACTGTCAACTGATGATTTTTTTCTGTGGATTTAAAAGTCCTGTTTAGGTATTAAACAGAAAAGATATTTTTGTTCCAGATCTTCCACTAGAGGGGGAGAAGTCAGTACAACATGCTGGATATCATTATAGACTCTCAAATCAGACTGCCTGGGTCTACATGTGAGCTCTGTTGGCTGTGTGACCTTGGGCAAATTAATTTGCTCTCTGGAGTCCTCTGTTTCCTCATCTTAAAATAGAAATCAAGTGAAATAATCCATGAAAGATATTCAGTCATCTTCAAAACACATAGGAGTATTCTCCTCCTGTTTCCATAGGCCTGCTGCTGTTTTTAGTAATAGTAGCGATACCATTATATGGTGAGTCCACAGATTTCAGTGCATATTTTTTGTCTTTATTCTCTTTATTGTAAATTTCCTTTCATAGTCTATCAACATTTGGCATTTACTAAGCACCTGCCCTGGGCAAAGCATTATGCACCCTATTTAGAAGAATTAGAGAGATCGTAAGATTTTCTTCCTCTCCTTAAGACTATAGTCTAATGAGGATATCTGCCTTGATATAAGAAAGAAAATATGAACCTGGACTTTTAAGCATTTGTTTCTCCTCTTCAGTTCTGAAGATTTTAAGATTAAAAGCCATGAAAAGATTTTTGTGATTAAAAGGATTGGAAGGACAGTTCAGACAGTATGACATGTTACGATAATTCTGTGATGGATGGTATTACCTCCAGTTTAGAGCTGGCCCAGAAAAGTTAAGTAACTGGCCTAAGATCACCCAGCTGGTAAATGGAGAAGAGGCATTTGCACCTAGGCCTCTCTGTTAAAACCATGCTCCTTGTACAGTACTGTGGTCCCTCTTACAGGACTTTTGGGGTAATAAACATTTTTTCCCCAGGAAAAAAATCAAACATTTTTCATTTCTTCAGAAAATGAAATGTGACAGGTTTCTAAGTTTTAGTTATCTATCCAGTGGTTAACAGGTTTCACTGTCAGAAGATTTTTTCTTAGTCTAATTTAAACTGCACGGGAATTTAAACCAGTTTCCTCTTCTTTTTCCATAGTAGAGGTAGTGAACATCTGGACACCATTCTGTTCAAAAGCCTTTAACTGTAAAGATCAAGGGTAGATCTTTTAAGAATGACAGAATCAAGGCATTAATCGAGTTTTTGCCATTAATTTAGCTGTGTGGCCATGGGCAAGTCTCTTACATCTTTCTGGCCCTAGTTTCCAACACAGTGAAAGTAATGCCTGGCTTATTTAACCATGGAGAATTGTTTGAGCATAACATAGGTTAACATGTGTAAAAATGATAGAACGGTGCTTTACAAATTCAGGCTAACTGTTATTATGTGATTCTTGGGAAATTAATGTTCATTATAATAATATGAGCCAGTAATGACAAATAGGTGCTGTGTACTGCTGCTCCTCATCCATTATCCCTGACAGACAGTGCTCATTAATCATGACACTCCTGTGAGTTTTGACTTGAATATTGCCAATTGATCAGAATTAGCATGGAAACTGAAATATGTGTGTCATCCTAATATAAGTACTTTTATTAATAATACTGTAGAACAGCCTTCTGCCCTTTCTTTTTCCTACTTGAAGAGTTCTGCTCTGTGGCACAGTGTCTGGTTCATAGAGAGATACTCATACATATGTTCATTGACTGAATTCATGAATGACATTGGTTACTTAATTTTTCTTCATATGTCTTACTTCATTCATGGGTCTACCCTGTTCCCTTTCAAGTCCTCTGTGGTTTTCTTTATAAAACTCAAGAGTTGGAACACTGCATATGAAACCCTCCGAATTAGTGAATTTGGGATTTATGATTTTGAGGCTTAAATACATTCCTGTTAAGTTCCTTCACCCTACTTTGGCCTTTTTACCATTTTAATGAGAAGTCTTTCTGAGCCCTTAAAAAGAGATTCAGAAAGTAAAGCTACTCTGGGAATAATCAAGAAAAAAGAAGTACCATAATCCTTTTAAGGAAATCATATTGTATATATTTGGAGGATAAGAGCTTTAGTTCATAAGTCTTAGAACATGGGAACAGTAAGACCAGGTTTAGGGATACATGTAAAATTTCCCCAAGTTCCACAATTTCTACCTAAAATTGGAGATAGATATATCATTACTTCTCAGAATAAACTACTCTTTCATTTCTAAAGCCTGCTGTAATTTTATTTCATAACTTACTTGCATTTTACTAATGGGGGTAGGTGATTGGTGCTTCTAGGCCATCTTTTGGGTCACAGGCCTGAAAGGCACAGTAAGTAAATAATAATGTGATCCCTTAGTTTTTTGGTTTGTTTTTTTCATTAAGGTATCATTGATATACAATCTTATGAAGGTTTCGTATGAGCAACATTGTGGTTACTACATTCACCCGTATTATCAAGTCTCCACCCTCTCCATTGCAGTCACTGTCCATCAGCATAGTAAGATGCTATAGAGTGTGATCCCCTAGTTTGATTAATTAAATCACTAAGAACTTAAAAGTAAAAATAATTTCTATAGGCTAATTAGTCAACTGTAATAAAAAATGTAATCACCTGGCTCCCTTATGAATGCCTTTGTAGGCATTCAGTTCTTTTTCGAAGAGTAGTGCTGCATTGCTGACTCATAATCTAGTTCTTGGGGCATTTTCTTGGTGTCTTTTCTCCCCTGATATGAAATTCCCTTCATTTCTAACCATATTTCCTTTCATTTTAATGTTATCTCTTTCTTTGAGGCACAGTATTTACCCATAGTTGTGGTGTCAGTCGATGTTTAATAAACTTACATCCCTGTCGTAGATCAGAGATGAAAATGTTAACCCTAGGACTAACTGGGTAGTTCACCAGCTGTTGCTAAATAAATAGCACTTAGTTCTTTGTGTTGATACTTAATATATTTATAATTCTGCTCTCCAGAGTTAAATGCCCCCCTTAACATTAATGTGATCCAGACTATATTTTCCCAGTATTTTAATGGTTATATAAATAGTTGGTAAGCTTAAAATGTAAAACCTTCCTAAAATTAAGAGGTTACTTATATTACTTCTCCTTAATCTATCAGGTCTGTCAATTCATGAAAGAAGACAATTAGATTAGTTTGACCACACTTGTACTTTATGTTTTCAGGTGTAGAAGTAAGTTTTGAAAGTTTTAATTTACATCACTTTTCTTTATTTTTTTAAAACATGACACCAGACTGGCCCTTTTTTCATCTTCAACACTTTCTGTTTTCTCAGTGAGAAGTGGTGAGTTCAGTCAACTCATTTAATATTATCATTTCTGCCAACTTATTTATTATACTGGCAAATCAGAGTCTTCAGGGCGAGCTTATCTGAGTGATTTAGGCTAACTATTTCATTCTAATTATTCTATTCTTCCTTAGTTCCTTGCCCTTATGGCTGCTGTTGTGCTTTCCCTTAGTTTACTTTTTTTAATTGTTGGAGGCAAAGTTAATAGGAGCCTTTTTCATGAAGTCTATCAGCTATTATCTGCTTTCCTTTCTCTTAATAAGAGACATGTTTCTTCTTAAAGAGAAATGTTTTTGTCAATACTTTTTTTTTCACATTTGTTTCCCTTTCTTCATAGATAGTTTTTTAAATTATATTTTCAGATGTCAGGATAGTGGAAAGTGTGCTGGTTTATTAAATAAGGACCTGGGGTCCAGCTTCAGTTTTCACTGAGTATATAATTTTGGGCAGTTCACTTAACTCCTCCAAGGCTTCCATTTCCTATTTAAAATGAAGAAAATATTTTAAAGTCTCATCTTAACCTGTATTTATCTATTCCGTTCGTGTTCTGTATTGCTAAATGTATGCCTAACATTTTCCCTATCTCTTTGTACTTTTCAATTTGTCTCCTTTCTCTCCTGTGGATTACTACCAGTATTTCCTTTTATATTTACATATATTTGGTAACAGATCCACAGTCTTTTGTTAGAAAGCATTAGGGCAGGAAATATTTCAGAATTCTAAACCTTTCCAGTTTTAGAAAGATAATATAGTTATCGTAGTACATGCTTTGTAACACCAAAATCAATCACATTAACCTTAATATTTCTGTAGCAAAGTGTTTGACTATTTACACTAAACAACGTATAAGACTATAAAGCAACCTCGTGTCCCTTCAGGTTATATTTACCACCAAATGAATTTTTGCCCCAAACTTTCAAAATTTATTGATTTTTGGAATTGTGGATTATGGCTGGTCATTATATTTTTCTATTGCTCCTGGATTTCTTAGAATTTGACATATTCCCATATTGCCTTTCTGATTCAAGTTTCTGAGCTTACTGGAAAATGTGAGTTCTAGTAATTCATTTTTCTGGATTCTTTACTTTTTCTTGGAATCCAGAACCAGTATTTGATTGCTTTTATCCAGGATTGCCTTTGCCTTTAGATACCCTCCTAACTTTTCCCTGCTCAAGAATCAGAACCACAGTGCCTTCCTAAGAAATCCTGGGATCCTTTAGACAAGCCAGTTAGCCTTAGTGCTCTCTCCCTGGAGAGTCCCCACCTCAACTGAAGTCTGTCTCAAAGCCAGGTCACAGGGCACTTATATAATTAGCTCTCAGTTTGGAATTTACTGACCCCTGTTTTTTTTGCCTCTTGTAACTTTGCTGCTATATTCAAACAATGCCACAAGATGGTGCCCAAATAGCAGCAAATTTCTCTCTCTCACATTTACAAGTGGCAGTCAGCTTCCTGACCAAGTTCTTTGCCCTTAAAGTACAGTCAAATACAGGAATTATGTAAGGGATTCTGAGGATTTAAAAAGTTATGTCAAAATAGCAAGTGTTAACTCTAAAGTCACCTTGATTTCTGTAATCCTCCCAGTCCATGAGTTGTAAAATCTTTTACAGACATTATCTGAAATAATCACCCTTGGAAGGAAGCATTTAGGCCTATTACCTACATTATGGTATCAAGATAAATGACTAGCCATGAAATTAGAACTGGTATTATGGCAGCTAGTGAAGTGCTTGGGTCACCAAACAACATATGGTCTGTATTTTCTTAGATCTTTGTGGAAGTGTTAAATGGAAAACAAGCTTCTATATTAAAAATTGATGAGTTGCCTAGATTTGTGCATCTTTTGTTTTTAGAAATAGTTCTTAATTTCCTTCCATTATATGTGATCACTTTTCCATGTTGGAATTGTGTATTCCAGAAGATTCTGGTTTCTGAAAGTGCTCTAAAAAATACTGAAATTTGATTTGCCTCTGAAATAATTTTTCTGTGAGATTGTAGGGAGATCTGACTCCCTAAACTGCTAAGCCCAGTGGCTGTTGTGTCCATTTGAACTAGAAAGTAGAATATTGAAATACATTCTTTGTCCCTATTGAAATATTTGTAAAGATCAGGAAACTGGGAATAATGAGCAATTATACTGAAGCACCAACATAATTAGGAAATAGAATAGCAAGACTAGAATCTGGGTTCTGCTAGATGCTAACTTACTCCATATACCTTTTATTTCTGTTAGCCCCAGGTCTCTCTCTTTTTATTAATATAGTAGTAGTAACATTATTTCCACTAACAAAGCACTTGGCAAGTTAAAAGATTATTTACTCTTGAAATCTGGTAAGAGAAGACCAAGAAATCCCTATGTCATGATTAAAGTTTGCCTTGTAATTTGGATTAAGGGAAAGTCACTGGTTGTATGAAGCATACTACCACTTTTAACACTGCCCTTATTTACAGAGAGAAAACGACTGGAAGCCAAGCAACGGGAAGATATCTGGGAAGGCAGAGACCAGTCTGCAGTTTGAACATCACTCAGTGAAAGGGGATATTCCATGAATTCAGAAAATATTTCCTTAGTCTTCAAATAAGAGGATCCTTCCAGAGATCTGTGCACATGCAGATGTGCATGTTAATGGAAGAGAGAGCCAAAACTATCAAGACAAGGACTGACTGGGTATAGAAAGAAGATAGATTCCTGTCTGTCTTCACTCCTAAATGCAGTTCTTTGGAATCACCCCACTGTGTTGGGTATAGAAGGAAGCTGTTAGTTAGGAAGAAGCTTGGACGATGTGACTTTTGAGTCCTCTGGACAGAGCAAGTCATGTTAGTGTGGGTCACACTTCGGAGCTATTTTAAGCAAATACAAAACAGAGGATTCAAACCTGCAATGATGGGAGATTTAGGCTCTGCAAAGGCAGGGTGTTCCTTGTACCTCTCAAAGCTGAGAACAGCAGTATTGGGTGGGGGAGGGGAGGGAGCAGTTAGTACAAAAAGACAGAACAGTGTCCGATGTACTTGGTATTCACAGAATCTACACCGTCAGGCCAGAACTCCAAAGCTGCTGAATTGCAACAGAAGTAGAAAATTGGACTCCAGAGTTTGTACTGAGCTGTACCTCGGGCTGTCCATCTACATAGCAGCCAGGGGCATGCCAGCCTCATTCCTCATAGGAAGCCAGTGTTGGGAGCTGGGTGCCAGTTCCAGTTTTAAGCAGTACTATCATGTTGTAAGTGGGAGACATTAAAGCCCATTTTATGACATACCACTTTGTTCTTTGTAAGCTTGTCATTCCAACAAAAAAATAGCAACTATCTTCTTAACTTAAAAGAGCAACTGTCTTCTTACCTTCATCCCTATAATGCTGTGCATAGGTTCAGTGGATCTGCTGGTTTTATTGAACCCCACTACGCTGACTGCTGATAATCTCTCTGCCCCACAAATACTACAAAAATGTCTCTTTTGGGATCAGTATATGGCAGTTCCTCTCCCCTTTTTGTCCTCCTAGTACACCCCTACCTCAACTTCTTGCCTTTTCCCATTTCTGTTAAATCTGACGTCTTGCAGAAAGCATCTGGCACACAACATGTTCTTGGTATGATCTCGGCCTGTGCCAGAGGCACTTGGCAAGCAGCACAAGACCATCCATTATGAAGAGTAGCCAGAGTGAAACAAACACCTCTGGGCAGTGAGGGATTTCTAAAAGACACAGACAAGTCAGAGACTCAGCTTGGGCTTTACCCATCTCACATCTGTATTCTCTGTTTTCGGAAAGTGGTTCTGCACTGAAGAAATGGTAGTACTAGACCTTAAGATGCTGAGTGGCAAGAAATAGTGTCTCATTGTACTTGCAAAGAGGGCAGCAGTCTCATATTTGTATGATTTAGGGCCCGTGACAATGATGGGTTATGAGCATTGCCTAGAACACGGTGGAGGAGGGCTCTGTTTAAGTGTTCCTCAGATGACACTGGCCTTGGGTCTTAGTCCTGACCCAGCTATTCCTGCTGCTTTTCCAGTCTTAGAGCCCTCCCACACAGTTCCTTAGCACTGGCTTTTACATTCTTGGTCAGCTCTGAGATTGTCCCTTATTCATGTTCAGTGCCCCCATTCCAGGTTTGGGGGATTAAATAAGTCCTTTTGACCCTCTGTCCCAGGACTGCTCAGGTCAGTGCCCCTCTCTTCAGCCTGTAGCCACATGACTTGTGTTCTCTGGCTTCCTGAACAGACTTCTCTGTGATAGGCAGGTCTGTCGGAGCAGTATGGCTGCATTTGAAAGGAAATGCAGGGAATTACAGCCAGACTTCGTACTGAATGATAAACCTCTCAGCCTGAATCTGAGGTATACCTCTGCTCTGTTTTGATTCTTCAAGGCTGAGAGTGACCTGACTTGTTACTATCACTTGACTTTGAGGATGTTTCCCCTTTCTGACAGCATTTTAGCTTTTAAGGCCATTGTTAATAGCAGCATTCAGCCCATGTTTATTACCCAGTTTTCTTCTAGGACTCATAATTTCCAGAAGAAGTTTTTTTTGTTCTCATTCTAATGCCATGTACTAGGTAGCTAGTAGCTTGTGCTTTTTTTCACCTACTAATCAGTCACCTCTAACTTTAACATTTATCATTGTAATCAGACCCAGAGAAAGAATTTTTTTTAGCCAATACCAAAAGCTATGGGGTGCTGCTTCTTCACCATCATAGAAAATGTGCTTTTTAATTATCTTTTCCTAGTAGTTGGAATTGATGTCTACTGGCTGGAGGTAGAAGGACCTGCCATGTCCAGCATGGGCTACATTGAGCTTATCCAGATGGGAACCAAATCCTTAGCCATATCTAATCCTTGGGTTCACAAGCTGAGCTAACTAGAGAGCCCTTGTAGCTGCCACTGGCTTCTTAGCTATTCAGAAAGACAGCTAATGGACTCTGCTATGCATGTATGTTGCTTCATATATGTTGAACATCTGAATGCTAGTATCACTTGCATTCCCCAAGTTCTAACATGCTCCCCATAGAGTGATGGTCTTGGTGGAATAGAAATAAATTAGGCTCTTGAACAGTGATTGAGGTTCCTAACACTTTAGTTTCTCCAGACTAAAGAATGCCAAGGTGAAAATCTGAAATTTTGGTTCTGTCTGGAATTTGGTGGTTGGTATTCTGTTAACATTCCTCATCTAGTTACAAGTCGTGCCAGCCACCAGTCTTCCCATGTCCTTCCCTTTCAACTCAGAGGTATAACAGCACAACTCTTGTACAGCCTTTTCCAAGAATGAGAACTGGCTGCATCTATCAAACGTGTGATGTGGGCAGCAGGACTGAGACCAGAGCTGGTGGCTCGCTGCCTGGCCTGCTTTTTCTGACCCTCTTGGAAACTGGATCCAGCAAGAGCTGTGGTTAACCTCTCAGCCTGAATCTAGTCATCAGTCACCACGTGCTCCCCACTAGCTGCACATGCTTTCACAGACTGTTAGCTGTATGTGCAACTATAAGGCTGTTACTGTTTGGGAGATGGTTGCTGGATCCAACAGGAAACTGGTCCTTCCCTTGTTTACCTATGCCATGCCAAACTATAATGGTCCCTCTGCCTAATGAAGAAGATGAAGGACTTGAGAAGAGAGAAGGGGGAGAAGAGGAAAAGAAGCACTTTGTATCATGGTGTCTACCCCAGAGCATGTCCCTTTTCACTCCCTAAGGAAGGGGTAGCTGTAGCCTTGTGGGCAGGGGAGGACTGCTGTATATCTGCCCCGACTACCATTCATTTTGGCTTTGCAGACTGTTAACAAAAGCTTGCAGTTCTTACACTTTTCCTTCTGCCTCCTACCTTTTATTCCTTAATCTTTCCAAACCATGTTTCAGCACTAAGTCTGGGAAAGGAATTGGGAAGCAGACTGTAGGCCAGTATCTGATCAGAGAAATGGAGTGGAACTGTGGTGAGTCATCTGTGTGCCCCACACATCCTAGTCACCGGCTCAGTGGGAGTGTGAACAGGGGTGGAGTTAGTGCACTGGGACCTGCAAAGACTCACAGCCAGTTCAATCTTTGTGGCAGGCCGTAGGGAGCCACTTTATTGGCATTAGGGTGTCACACCTGTAAGATCATCTCTTAAGTGTATCTAAGTGGAGAGAAGACAGGATCATGTCCAAGATGACCATGGGCTTTTATACCACCTGAGCAAGAGCACTACAGTCACATTGAGCAGGGATGGTGGCCTCTCCTAGGTTTAGTCCTTAACTAAATTGAATATTACCCTTCGGGCTTCTCCATAGTCTCCTGTGCCCTACTCTACTGAATCTGTCATCTAACTCTTACATAAATGAGTGGCTTGTTTGACGTTCTTTCCAATGCAAAAATTTATTAAATGCAAAGTTCACTCCAGAAACTTGGCTAAGACCTGAAATTTAGGCTGGCCCTGAGACACACAGTGATCTTGAGGGAGATTGTGTTGCCTGCCAAGTTTTTGGCATATATTTTTTCCTTGGCAGAGGCCCTTGCAAGGGCTGAGGCCCACATTACCCCAGCAGTCTTTCTGCTTGGCCTCCTCTCGCTACTCTCCAAGAAGGTCCTATCTGGCCACTTCTGCAAATCTTGCCTCTTCTTAAGCACTCAGTAACTGGTGGTGTTGACCCATTAGGAAATAAGGGGATGCCAGAGGCCTAACCTTCCAGGGATATTAGTAACACCCATATGTGCAGTAGGATAAAGGTAAGGTAAGGGCACTAAAGAACATACTCTTAGAGAATATGCCAGGTGAGTTCTTAATGAGCACAAATCAAGCAAGGGACTGAATTCATCACCTACTTTGCCAGTTGTGATTTGACACAAGTTTTGTTGTTCTGAGCTCCTAGGAGAGAGCTAACACCACCCTCAGTGTATTTTTGTCCCCTACTCCTCCAAGACATTTGCAAAGCACCATTTAGATTGGGGATTGGGCCATAATCCATCCCTAGGGAATCAATTGCTTCTGAACCAGAAACTCTGGACCAAGAGCCAGGAAAGACAGGGTCCCTTATGGAAGAAATGCTCGACTGAACGAAGTCTGGAGGCCAGAGCCTACAGACCCACGGCCCTTAGGACACAGGCCCAGAGCCAGCCCAGGGGAACAGTACCATCCTGGGTTGGTGATCTTGCCATCAGAAGGCTTCCTGAGCAGGCTCTTGGTGCCCCTTGGCACTGGCCCCTTCCCTTCTGAGTTCGGGCTCTGGAGGGCATGGCTCCAGTAAGCTGAGGTATCTGGTGTGTGGCAGCAGCTGGAAGTATGCAGAATGGCTTTAGATGAGGTTGTTCCTGAGACGCTGCTCCTGTTCCAGCGAGAGTTCTGCATTAGCTCTGTATGAATCCCCTGGGGACCAAAGGAGAACAAGTAAGTAGCCAGGAGGTAGACGACCCCTACCAGAGTCTCATCCCTTCCCAGACAGCTTCACACAGATACACTCTGCCCAGCTCAGCCTTTGCATCAGGTATCACCAATCCATTCTGTAGAAATAGACCCTGATAGACGTGTCATTTCAGGGACATCGTGAAGAACAGGCTGTTGAGTGGGAAGGGTTGTGCTGTTTGTTTTTTGCTCCCTCTCCTCCCCCAGATGCATTCTCTATCCTCTATTCTCTCTGTGCCTTGAACAACTGGCCCCTAGAGATTGCCTCACCCTGGCTCCCTCCTCTGGTTTCTGGTTGATTTAAGTCAGTGGGAAGCAACAGCAGGAGATGAGAGGATGGAGGGAGAGAGAGGTCAGGGTCGTTTTTCCCGTTCCTGCATGATGGTGTCCCAGAGCTCCAGCTCTGGCTGGGTTCTCCCTCCTCCACACCTCTAGCTTTCACCTGGCTCCAGGACACCCTTTCCCTCTTCAAGCCTAAAGGCAGTAACAATTTTCCATGCTTGCTTACCCCTTATTTCCGTAGACCTACTCAACACCTCTCTAAACAGTATTTTCATTAAATAACTTCACACTCTAAGTTGAGTGTGCCCTCTGATTTTTGCAGAGACCCTGGCGGGGACCAGAACTACATTGTTTGTCTTTCTTCCTCTGTGCCCTGGACCCTGCAGCTGGCCATAAGCATCACGGAGGATCTGTCTCCACATGTGCAGCCTTGGGTTCCCATTCCTGATTCTCTCATGTTCTGTCTCATTTCATAATGGCAGCAGAGTCTACTCTGTCACATAGTTTGAAATGCTTAGACAATTTCTTCTTCCTCTTCTCATTGTCTTCCATCTGTTGCCAGAGTTATCTTTTGAAAACCTAAATCTGATCTTTTCACCCCCTTGACTGAAATTTGACAATGGTTCTCAGAAACCCACAGAATAAAACCCATTCTCATAGTAAGAGCTGTCATAACCCTCCCTGCAAAGAACTTCACTGGGTTTGAAATGCATAGCCCCACTTTACAAAAGAATAAGCTTCTGCAGTTGAGATTTTCCTCACTGTCTTATAGCTAAAAAGTGGTGGAATTGAATGTGGAACCCAATGCAGCCTTCTGAAGCCAATCCTACGCTCTTTCTCCTACTCTCCTTCTGACTTCTGCCCCTCCTTTGAAGCCCAGTTCAAATATCACTTCCTCTGGGAAACTACTGGCTGGCCTCCAGGTCGTTGCTTTCTCTTCATGCTGGCTCAGCATTAGTTCATACTGGTTTGGTTTATTGGAGTTTTCCATTTGCATGTCTGCTGACCATAATTGACACTGAGCTCACATTTTACTCTTTGTGTTCCTCACATTTTACTCCATTACATCTGGCACAGTGTATTCAATGCAGAATAGGTCTAACACTACGTGTGGACTGAATGAACCAATTTGCCTCATCTCACCCCGAATATGCAAAGTGGGGGTGTAAACACACAAACCCCATAGCAAATACAGCATCTTAGAACTTAAAGATAGAAGGGCTGCTACCTTTCTTTACGGACACGTAGGTCAGCCCCTCCTTATGCTGCCCCCACTGGAGTGTTGCTTCTTCCTTAAGCTTGCAAATGTATTGAGTCCTGTTCTCCATGGTCCCCTTTTTATAGCAGTGATCATAGGTGGAAATAGCAATACAGATATAGGGGACTTCCACTTTTGCTTATAAGGCAGCCAACTTAGGATGGAGGCAACTAAAAAAGACCATATTAAAAGGAGGGGAAATAACAGGACTGGAAAAGGGAAATCCTGACTTGGCTTAAGGTAACAGGAAAGAGTCCAGGGCAGAAGGGAGGCTGAGTTTTACAAACCAGATGGACAGTCCAAACAGTCTCAAGGACCAAGAGGGATGCAGAAGTAGTAGTGGGTGAGGCTGCTGGCCTAACCATTGTTCTAGAAGTCTACTTGTGGAGATACCAAAGAAAATGAATCTCCCATCCCCAGCCTTTTGCACACACATTCAGGTTGCACAGGAGGGTGAGTTGAGAGCCGTGCTGAGCTGGTCCTACAGTGGCTCACAGTTACCTGTGTGGCAGTTGTGTAGCCAGACCCGGTGCCCATCATACTTGCAGCGGCACCGCATCATGTTGTTAGAGAAATCTGACTCTGCCACCTCGTATTTGGGGTTCACAGCCACCTGGATGAGAGAAGAGGACAACTGAAAACACGTGCTTTGGCTTCTTTGATAGTGACTTGTAATCCTTTACATTTCAAGTAGTCTTACAAAGTGTTTTCTAGTCTTTGCTTCATTGATCCTTAGTCACCACAGGAGGTAGGCATTGATGTCCCTATTTTTACAGATGCAGACTGAGAAATGACAGCTGAGGAGATTGCCCATTGTCCATTGAATCAGGACTCAAACCTATGTCCTCTGGATCCTGATTCAGTGGCCTTTCCCCTATAGCTTAGCTCCTTTAAGTGCCAGACCTGTCAGAGACCCTGTTTATGAAACTGTCTCCTTCATTTGACCTCAGGGAAGCTTTTGGAGCATCTAGAGGAAATGGAGTTCCTCTGGGGAGTCCCCCAGACCCCTTACCTGGAAGATGTAATCCCCAGGGGCCACGTCTGTGATATCCACCCACTGGCAATCAATGTCATGCCGGTAGGTGTCCCAGCAGCCAACGGTCACTCCTTGTTCACCAAAGTTGGCACATGCATAATGTCTCTGCAGTCCTGTAAGGAAGGGTACTGACAGTTACTGAGGCACAGAACCAGGTACTCAGAACCAAGCACTCTGCTAGGTCTTTCACATACTTCACCAGCTCTACCAGTGAAGTACAGTCAGATTAAGGTTCATTTAAGTAACTTACCAGAGTATCAGAGCCAGAATTCTCACTAACCATGAGTCCAGCACTGTAGCAAACCCATCTGTGACAGAAATGATTTCTTGCCTGCTCTAGTGGAAACCCCTGTTGGCCTAGAAAATGTGGTTGGAAGATTCCAGCCCTACTGTGCTGAAAGACTTGTCCATCCATCCATCCATCCAGTCCTGAAGAGCCAGTGTTCCCCATGCTATTCCTAAGAGCTAGGCACTATGGGTAGCAAATAGGAATCAGACAATCCGTGCCCTTAAAGTATTTAGCAGAGTGAGACAGGTCTGCAACTATTATCCAAAACTAAAAGTGGATTAACTTTTTTAACACTAATTTTAACAGTGGTTAAAAGCATGTTGGGAATGCAGAGGAAGCAGAGACCTTTCACCTAAGATTTCAGAAAGTAAGAAACAGATCTTTTTGAATTGCCTTGAGGGCTGCCTGTTGCCAGGCCTGAGGCTTTTGAGCAGGACAGAGGGGAACCTGACCCCAAAGGGACTGAGGAATATGACGCATATGCTGACAGGAAACCACATACCTGCAGGGCAGTTTGTGTCCTCTAGACAGAAGCTGGCTTTGTGCCCCTCAGCCACCTTGGAGCCATTGAGAGTGAGTAGGTCATAGTGGGTGAAGACCTCAATGCTGTGGTAGTGCCTGCAGAAGGGCAGAGTGGTCAGCCTGGCGGCAATAGGAGAGGGTTCTCCCTGGAGGAGCTGGCAGGCAAGATTGAGGTACTGGGCCCCTCAGTATCAGAGAGGAACATTATAATGGTAGGGAGTGCCCTTCTCCCTCCCAAGCCCAAGATTAGTGTGACCCATGGGCTGCTTTCCTGGAACCCCTGCCAGGCAGCAAAGCACCACTGTCACCTAGGGTCTTTACCCAAGGGAGGGCAGGGGAGAGAATAGCTCTGCCCTGGTAACTTCCAGGAGACTGGTGCCTGGCTACCAGGCCTGAACTGGAGGTATAAGGAGGTGACACATCTAGGCACCAGCACAGGAGCTGAGCTGCTGAGAAGGGGTGCTTACTTTGCTCTGGTCAGCCTGGCACCAAATTGCTACCATTGTTTCCATTCCAGTTTTAATGACAATTCTGTTCCTGCTACAGGGAAAGGTGCTTATTATCTCAGCAAGGCCAAGTCCCCAAATTGCTGCCCATTCCTCTCAGCGTTCCCCACCCACAGCTGTATCCTGAAGAGAAAACACCATTTTTCCATCCTTTGTCACAGGCATTGTGTCTCTCGTCTGGGCTGGGGACTCGTGACAGGAAAGGATGCTCACTGTCCCCCTTTGAGTACAAGCACTTGTGCTCTTCTCTGGGAGCCTTGCTTTGCTGTTACAGGAACTAGCAAGCTTCTTTCTGCAGAGCCAGCATCCTGGATGGGATGTCTATTTTGGGTCTCTAGGTTTCTAGGAGTCCCCACTTTACCTGGCTTTCAAAGACAAGGCCTAAGATCCAACCTAGAAAAATTGCCCAACATCATCCCAACAAACACCAGCTCTGCAGGCTATGACTGCTGTGTTGGGCATTGCTGGGGGAAATGGATCCCATGGCACCATCAACACGGTAACAGGCGAGGAGCGACAGAGAGGCACATTGACGCTCCTGGATCCCTACTGCCTCCCCGAGGCAAGGCCTGTAAGGCATATAGGAAGGAAGGCTCTCAGCCAGAGTGCACACGCCTCTCAGGGAAGGCCAGACTGCTTTGGTCCCTGGCCCCTACTTTTTGACCCTCTAGAGCCAAGGCATGAACAGGCACTACCTGTGGCACTGGTGCCAAATCCAGCTGTGGCGTCCTGTCTTGGGACGAAAGTCGGCCCGGCCCAGGTTGTGGATCTGCGAGGAGAAGCGCAAGAGGCGCCGGTGTCCGTAGGGCCAGTCCATGCGGTCGGCAGACTGGGAGAGGCAGTTTTCCTCATGGGCACAGTACAGCTGGCTGAGTGGGCGGTCCTCCAAGTAGGCTGTGTCCTGCACTAGCTGGGCGTTCATCACGAGGTCCGGGGCACCTGGGGCCGCAGAAGGCACAGCGGGGATGCAAAAGGTGGGAAGGCAGCCGGTTTTGCTCGCTGGCTGAGGACAGGCTTGCTTCCAAACTAAGCGCTTTTGGAGGAGATGTGAGTTCTGTTAACAAAGGAACCATCTATCGCCTTAACCCAGGAGGCAGCCACAGTATCACGGTTAAGCTTGATGGCTTTGGGTTCATGTCTAGTCGTAATTTCTGACTATACCATTTACCAGCTCTGTGACTTGCTTTTTTGTCTCTCATTTTCCTCATCTGTTAGATGAGGATGATAATAATATAACAAATACCTGTAACATGCTCAGATCACTGTCTGGCCCATGGTAAGCATGCGATTGAGGAAAACTAGTATTTTGTAAAATGCTTCTCAGCCTGTAAGTGCTTTTTGTAGCCTAGCTCCCATAATCCTGCAGGAAGCTCATCTGGTAACCAGCTTCGTTACTCAGCTCAGTCACTCCCTTTCTGGGGGCCTCAGTCCCTTCAGTGTAAGGGCAGAGGGGACAGGGCTGGGAGGGAGAGTGGGAGGACTTCATCTCCCAGCCTGCTCTTGAGCTATGCTGTTCTGGTCCATTCTGCCGCAGTTCCTCCAGAGTTAGCAGGCTCTAACTTTGGCTCGTCTTGGTCACCTGATTGCTACCGTGGGCACTCATACTAGGGCATTTTGTGTGTTCTCTGAGGCATCTGGACATTTCTGGGGGCTTCTTAGTGTATAGAAATCCCAGCTGTGAAGCCTGTGTCTGACAGGCTGCTCAGTGCTTCTCCTGTCCCCTTCCTGTCACAGGGGCTCTGACCCTCCCCAGAGGCTACATGCCTCTTTTCTCTCCTTTACATGTCAGCACAGAAATGTGGAGAAACACAGCTTTTGCCATGTAACATCAAGAGAGGAAAGTCCAGTCTCAATGTTTGTTTGTGCAAAAACAGCGCTACCTTTTAGATTTTTAACAGAGGCCTCACATGGGTGAGCCTGTGGGCTGATGATGGTGTGAGGGGAACACTGGCTTATTTCAGTGGGCAGGCACTGCAGTGGGGAGCAGAAGTTTGGCTGGTTTGCTCTGTGAGGCGGGTACTATCACCAAACGCTCTCAACATTCCTGTGGTATATTTTGGAGAGAAGCAGGTGTGCCCACTGACAAACCCTAGAGTTGCTGTGTTCCTGAAGGAGAGCCTTCAGAGAGAAGGATAAGAAGGGAGGGTAAAGGAAGAAATGAGAAAAGTCAGAGGAGAAACAGGGATGGCCACAGAGGTGGCAGGTCAGCTGTCTGTGCTCAGCAGTTCCAAGTGTCAAATATATTCAGGAGGAGAGCTGCCACTCCAGGCGGTAGGACAGGGAAGGGGACAAGGTTCCCAGGAAGGGGAGAATGCAGGGAGCCGGTCCCTGCATGCTGTGTGTGAGCCTTGGTACTGGGAAGGCCCACTCTGGTGCCCCATCGCCCTGCAGGGGAAGGTGTGTTTTCAAGCTCAGCAGTGCCTGCTGTTCTTCCAAGGGGCCCTGGACAGGGAGGAAGCCTTGAAGCTTGCTGACTTCTGACAAAGGTAAGGATGGCTTAGCACTGAAGCTGGGCTGGGAAGGTCAACTGGCACTAGGGTTGGTGCCAGCCTGTAGCCTTTGGACTGGGTATTGTTATCTTGGCAAGGGCCTGGCTGGCAGATGTCAAGGATTCTGCTGTGCTGAGAATCTGGGTGCCTGAGGCAGACTAATGCCTCCAAATGGTCCTGTCCTGAAGCCTTTTGAATCCTACAGCTCAGGAGAACACACAGCAGAGCCTTAAGGCCCCACATGCTCCTCACTGTATGTACCCTCTGCAAAAGCTTTCCAACTCTTCTCTTACTGCCAACTGCAGTAAGAAATACATTTTATGTTGTGTAGTACACAATATTTATGTGTGTACATAGTACACACATACACAGTTCCATGAAAAACATACTGCCCTTACTAAATGTAACACAATGTTTTCTATCCTCTTTCATTTTTTTAAACTATTAGTCATGACCAGAAAATTGAAAAACACTGTTGCCTAGTCTTGTGTTTTCACCTATTTTGTGTTTTAATTCTCACAGTAACTCCATGAGACAGGCAGGGCAGGGCTTGGATCCCTGTGACATGTCACCTGTGACAGGTGACTTGGCTGCACAGCTGGTGAATGGCAAAGATGGTGCTCCAAGTCCAGCCCTGCACCCTGCCCCCCACCCTGCCAGCTTGAGCTGGGGCCAGCACTCGGGGCCCTCTATGAGGACAAGAGGGGCTGGCTTGTCAAACTGGGGGAGCCCAGGCCTGCCTGTCTGCTAGTCCCATGGGCCCTCCTCCCATTACTCACTGTCTGTGCAGGAGACTCCAGCTGAAAAGCGCCCTGTGCCGTGGGGGCAGTGCACTGGCCCATGCCTTTGACACTGCTGCAGGGCCAGCTCTGTGCCTGAGCAGCGCACCCCGCTCATCACCACTTCTCTGGCCCCCGGCGTCCCCTGCCAGTACCAGGTGTCCTAAGAAACCAAGCAGCAGCATCCTGTCAGGTCTGAGGGGCGATCTGGTGTCATCCATCTCCTCTGACTCCCATCTGAGCCTAGTACCCCATCGGATGACCCCCACTGGGCCGTGCCCAGCCTGGGACTAAACGTCTTCAGTGATAGGACAGTCCGTGCTACTTTGGACACCTCTAATACTCGGAATTTCTTCCATGTATTGAAGCAGAAATCCAGCGCCAGAAACTCCCACCACTGGCCCCACTCCCATCCTTCTCCCACAGGGCAGCTCTTAGCTACTGTTCCTTCCTGCCCACGCTGGTGGCCTGTCGCATTTCCCAGCTATTCTTCATATAGCCTCAGGTGGTTGGTTGTGCTCAGGGTGGAGCTCCATTCTCTAGGTGAGGTAGCTCAAGGCCGCCCCACAGGCCCAGGGGAAGAGGTTTCTCCATCGCAGGCATGCCCATGGCCTCTTGATTTTGTTTCCTTGATATCTTGAGTCTATCCACATACTTCTCTAAGGACTACCACTAGTCTGGTCCGAGCCAGCATTGTTTCTCAGCTGGACTACTGCAGTAGTGTGTTTACCTCTATTCACATTAATCTCCACCCCAACTGTTTGCCAAACAGCAAGGAAGAAATCTTTTAAACTTGGCAGTGCAGGCTTTGAATGGTCTGGCCCTGCCTCCTGCCCCCTCCTCCCCCTCACCCCAGCTCCCCCACTTCACACTGCTCACCCTTCACCCCATGCTTCACACTGCTCACCCTTGATAGCCACACTCCAACCCCGGTCACTGGTTTCCTCAACTTTCTCTGAGTCAAGCCTCCTCTGGCCATAGGCTCTGTGTGCCAGCTGTTTACTCCTCCCCCACCTCATCTGGCTAACTTCCGTTTGTCTTTCCTATACACACAATTGTGTGCCTGTTGTGTGAATGTGTTAGGAATGCCTGCCTCCCTCACTTTTCTGATTTTCCAAGAGGCAGGAACTATGTCATCTTCACCACCATGCCCCCAGCACCCGCACTGTATTGGCCTGTAGTTTCACTAGTTCTTAATTGTTGAACAAATGAACGAAGGGTTAGCAACTTTAGCACAGTACGTTTTGGAGCAAGACAGGGACCTACCTTGACTGCGTGACTGGCAAACCCCAGGCCAAGCTGTCGGCAGGCCACCATGGCTTCCGTGAGCCCCCAGTGGTCACTGCACACGGCGCCCCAGCGTTGGACTCCGTTCACCTCCACCTGCACCTCCACCACGCCCTCCTGAGGGCTGCGCCCGCCAGCCAAGCGCACCTGAAATGGCAAGAGGTGTGTGAGGAGCTGGGCAGCCTTAGGAGGGGAGAGCTCAAGACTGCTGGCCTGGAGGCCTGCCAGGCCAGCTCATTGTGCCGCCCTGGACACGACACTCCCCTTCTCTGGGTTTGTCTCCTTCATAACTGGAGGACATTCTCCTAGATAGTCTCTAATGTCTCTGCCCACTAGAGAAATCTGACTCCAAGTGCCTTCACCGGGGGCTCCTGCTCTGGTACTTGCCCTCCTCCTACCTGAAATCCCACCATTAATGATGACTTGTCAGTTGCAAAGGACTTTCATGTCTATCATCCCTTCACAGTGACCCTATGAGACAGTTAATCCCATTTTACAAAAGAGAATCAAGATCAGAGACACCAGCAACTTGCCCACAGTCCACGTTAGCATGAACTTGAACTTTGACCACCCCACCCAGCCTCTCCATTCCCCAGTGCTGACAGCCCCGCAGCCCTCTGCCCTAGGCACTTTCTTTCTTAACTTCACAGGAGACCTGACCGGGAGTGGTAGGAGAGTGCGTCCATCTGAAGAGTCCCCACTGCCTTCTGACTCTCTGAAGCCCAGACCCCAGCCCTGAGGGGATGTGGGCCAGACCAGGGGAGACTCAGAGGAGAAGCCTTTCCAGGTTGCAAAGGGAGGTCAACCCAGGCCCCAGGCAGAAGAACTAGCTGCCTCTCCTGAACCCTTCCCCAATGGCTCCACGTGGCTTCCCCATGCCTTACCCTGAGGCCACACCTGGGTCCGAGCTCACCTGATTCTGGAAGCCCATGTTAGGGACGTTGCACCTGACGGCAGCATCATTCTCATGCTGACAGCCATTCTGTGACCCTTCCAGGGAAGGGCAGTCACCAAGCGTCTGCTCATATCCCCTGCAGCGCACCTCGCTCAGGTGGATGGGCCCCAGCCCTGGGGCAGGGGGGCGAGAGGTGCTGTGTGAGGCTCCTTCTTGGTGACCCCAACCTGTGGCTTCCCCTCCACAGAGGGGGAGAGCGTTCTGGCCTGGGCCATGGCACCAGGCTCACCAAGGGATGGGCCAGCGGCATGTCCGGGCCCTCCGGGCCCCCCCACCCAACTCCCAGCCTCCTCACTCACCTTGACCCAGCTGGGCCCCAAAAAGGGCCTCCCGAGCAGAGCCGAAGCCAAGCTGACGACACATGACACTGGCAGAGATGAGGTTCCACCTGCGGTCACAGACCGTTCCCCACTGGTGGTTCATGAGCACTTCCACCCGGCCCTCACCCACCTGGGCTCCAGAGCGCAGGCGCACCCTTGGCTCCTGCTGGGAGAAAACTGGCTTTAGGGAGGGCGGAGGAAGAGGGAGCTGGCGGGCAGGAGCTGAGCTGCTGTGGGAACCCAGGCAGGGCCCCTTGGAGCTGGGCAGAGCCAACACCCTGGAGTTCCAGTTCCACCTCTGACTGCCCGTAGCTACGGCCTCGAAGAAGCTCTTTTCTCAAGCTCTCTCTCTTCAGTGGCAGAGCACCGCCACGGTAATGACGGAGGTGACAAGTTCCAGCTAACGAAGGAGCCTTCGGACTTGGGATCCCTGGGCTTGACAACCTTCCACCTAATCTCCAGGCAAGTCCCTTCCCCTTGCCCAGCCTTGCCTTCTTCTTTGTCCTGTGGGGTTGAATTAGATGGGTGCTTCCCAAAGGGATCTGTGAAGTTATTTTAGAGATGTGCAGGGACATGGTATTAATTAAACTGACTCACACAGTGGGGAAGTTATTTCCGTTTTAATTCTCTTCCACTCCGTCCTATCTTATCAAGACCATCCCACCGTGGTGCTGTCACGTCTGTAGCACCTCCCCAGCACTTGCTCACTGCTTTTAAGGGTCAGGCTGAGGCCTCAATACTCTAGGGACCCACGACCCCACAGGATGTACCTACATCGTAATTACTGTTTTTGTGGTTACCTTCTATTCATGGCCCATGATGTCAACTTCCTTTGATGGTAGGGTTATAAAAAGGTCCTTCTAAATAAATTCCAAGGTCCCACCATTCTGTGCTCGCTCTCCTCCTCCCAGTCTGCACTGATGCCTCCTTGACAGGGGTCATTTGTTCCTCCTCTCCTTCCTGTCCTGGGCAGTTCCTCCCCACCATGGAGGGTCCTGCTGGGGATGCCAGGGCTGTGCTTCCCGTCTGGGTGCAGGCCTCGTGGGACCCACCTCTGCCTGAGACTCCTTATGCCTGGGCTTCACCTTCGGAGGGCGGAAGCGGGGCCCTGCCACACAGCTGACAACAGCATGCATGCCACCTGGGCAGGCCGGCCGCACCTTGCCCCGCGCTGGTGCCACCTGCACCTGGCAATTGGCCATGTGGGGCTCTGTCCCCTGGCAGTTGACCCGGTGAATCCAAAAGGAATTCTTCTGTGTCAAACTCTTCAGCCTGGAGGACAAGGGAGACAGAGTGGGGGAAGGGTTGAGGAAAGCACTCCCAACTTGGGAATGTCAAAGCAATGGGGATGAGAGGGCGGTCCTTCACGCCACACCCTTGGCACCCTCCCGAGGGTGCCAATCCTCACCTGGACTTGGGATCCTTCATCTTCAAATCCCAGACGTTCCTGGGTGGGAGAAAAAAGGTGGGGAGTGGAGACGGTGCAGAAGACTCCGTCACTGGCTCCTCCTAGTTTTGAGTTTGCACCAGAATTCAGTTTGTAGAGTTGCTCACAAATCTTATTTCAGTGCTGAGCTTCTCAGCAGCCCTGAGAGGGTAGTCACCTCATGATAACAGTCATCACCATTTCATAGGAAAGTAAAGCAGGGCCTAGCAAGGTCCACTGACAAGTCCCAAACTGGGGTCTCTTCTGCACTGGGCTGATTGTGGGGCGGGTTCTTCGAGCTCGGCCTCACCCCAGTCCAGATGAAGGGGGTGCCTCTAGGGAGCACCCCCAGAGAAGGAACCCAAGGGAAAGGCTGCTGTAGACTGCTTCCCCAGAGGCTGTAATCAGGGCTTCCCTCCTCATGGGCGGAAGGCGAGCCAGCCAGGCTCAGATGTGCAATTACCAGGCAGTAGAGGATCCGGGGCCCACGTCCTATCCTCCCCAAGGAGGGAGCCACGTGGCTGGTGTTTGAGACCAGAGTCATCTAAGTCAGAGATGCAGGGCAAAGCAGGTACAACTGACTGGAGATGGGCAAGGGCAGGGATTCAGATGTCCAAAAGGAGAGCTCTCCCTTGACGAGAACGTGATAGATTTGCTGACACAGAACTGGTAGAGTTCTGAGGGGTCATCCTTCACTGGCTGATGCAGTCTCAACCGTTCAGTCACATTTCTGACAGAATATTTTTATGCTTCCCTTCCAAATGCTGCCCCACCCACCCTTGCTTACATACAACCCAGTCAGCACTTGGCTTGGATCATAATTGAAGGAATTCACTGGGACAAAGTTGAGAAAATTCCCTGCAGATGGATAATTGCCCAGATGCCCTGCGAGGCCCCACAGCTAGTCACTGGCAGAGCTGAGATCAGAACTCAGGTTGTCTGTCCTTGAGAGCACCACTGTGGTAGCTTCAAAAAAGTCTAGTCTTCAAATTAGGACACAGCTTTACATTTAATTGTTTTTATTTTGAGAGTATTCTTTATTACATTCAATTCTTTTTATATGATTGGCAAACACAGTATTTATTTCCTATTTCTAGGTATTTCCCAGGGTCTCCAAATTCATCTTCATTTTCCTCTTAATTATTCTGAGAGATCCGTAATCCAGAAATCCAGACACATTCCTCAGTTGGGCCTCTTTCCCTCCCAATACCAACACCCACTGAATGTCCTGCCATAGACATCAACCCCTACCAATCTGCTGAGCAGCCCGAGGTCCCACATGTCACACATCCACCCACCACATAGGCACACACTCACATGTACACAAATCTGTGCATGCACAGGACACTCACCTACCACACACCATACATAGGCACATACTCAAGTACACTTGGAAATGCACACACGCTCAGACACTGCCTCCCCCTTGGCCCTCCATCCAGCTCCCCTCCTACCTGTAGTAGTGGTTGTTGACAGGCAGCTCACTGGGGAAGCCCAGCATCCCGCACACCACCCTGCTGTTGTTCCTGGTCCAGCCTTGGTCACACACCTGCCGCCAGTGGCCCTCGTACCTCACCTCCACAGCCCCCTCAGTCACCAGGCTCTGCCGCTTGGCGCTGGCAAGAATGGGCTTGAGCCGCACCTTCTCCAGTCGCCGGCCCTGCGGGGTGCACAGTTACCAGGAGTCTTGCCCCTGCTGAGCTCACTGCAGGTCTTCACATGGGAGAGCCAGGGCTCAGGGCACTTGAGATCACCCCGACTAGCCCCCTCATTGGACAGGCTGGGAAACTGAGGCCCAGAGAGGGGAAGTGTTTGTCAAAGGCCACATGATGAGTACAAGGCAGAACCTTAGTTTGTTTAGGATCCTTTCCTCAACTCAGAACAAAGCCGATCTGTGACCTCCCTGGGATCAGGATGGGAGTCCTTGGAGTTGGGAAGGCTACCAGGCCTTCGTCATGCCACCCTAGGGAGAGCTGGGGATGGGCACAGGTCAGCTGCTTGAGATCACCAGCAGGATCCTGTGGCCTCTGAGACTCTTGCCCTACCCCTGGGGTGACTTAGACCATACAGAGCCCCCGACCCTACCCTGTTGCCCTCAGTGGGCCAGGGCCAGCTGTCCTCAGGCTGAGGCTGCCTGGCAGTGGTGGGTAGGAGCCAGGACCTGCCCTGCCTACTTCTGTTGTTTGGCTTGGTCTGTTTTTAGCTCAGGGTTGTTTGTGCTGGGAAGAGGCAGCAATTGTGGCCAGGCCTTGTGGGCAAGGCAGCCCCTTGCCCCTGCTGCCTGCCTTACGGGGAGCAGCTTCAGTGATTCTCGGCAGGCCCAGCCTCTGATTTCCTGGCCTTCCCGGCTCCTAGCTGGGGCCCTCTGTCCATATACTTGCTCCAACCCACCAAAAGAAGATAAGGCCCAGGGATGCTTCACAGCCCACACTCTGCTTCCTGTCCCCTCCCTCTTCCTCCAGGCTCATCACCCAGGAGGTTGTCTTCTGAGCCACCCCTCCACCCAGGCCAGGACCTGAAGAGCCTCCTTACCTGGGGCTCAAGGGCATTGGAGACTCTTTCAGAAATATAGCCACAATGGCGCTGGGGGTTGCACACCACCCCAACGTCCTCTGAATGGCTGCAGTCACTGACACCCCAGCCATTAGACCTGCACTGTTCCAGGGAGCTCTCTGTGCCCACACAGCGTACGTTGTCCAGCCAGATGGGTCCTGTGAGAGGGGATGGGTGATGCTCCGGTTGGGTGATGCTCAGGGATGGGTACAGAGAGACAAGTCACAGGCTCTGCCTCCTGGATAGGACCCCACAGTTATCAACTTTCTTCTTCTAAACCCTGAGTAGAAAGTGGGACTGTGGTTTTCCTGGGATCTTGGTATCTACAACTTGCCTAATGCCACCTTTTGGCATCAGGTCCTGTAGAATCTGTTTTTGGAAAAATACCAGGTAGGTCTAGTAATTAGATCTACTTGTTCACCTATTAAGCAATCCATTCATCCAACAGCATTCACTCAAAAACATTTGCTGAGCACCTACTGTGTGCGAGTCACTATGTTCAAGGAACTTAGAGATAAGTGGTGGTGATGGTAGTGATGGTGGGGATGGTGGAGGCCTCACTGCAAACAAGAATTGGAGGGTTGGAGCAGGGGTCATTTGCAGCTGGGGTACTCAGGAAATGCCTCATGGAGGAGGTCAGTTGAGCTGGGTATTAAGGGATAGGCAGGAGCCTGCTATGTTCTCTTGGTGTCTCAGTGAGCCTAGCCCTTGATAGAAGGCTGCTAGCATCTCCTTGTCATCCTTCTCTGTGTCATCCACCAGGCACTCACCCTCCCCTTGGCCATACTTGGCACTGTGGGCCCAGGTCAAGGCAGCCTCAAAGCCCAGCTGACGGCAGGCCACTGTGGCCTCCTGGAGAGCGAAGTCGTCATCACACACGGTACCCCACTGTCCCTGGTGCAGGACCTCCAGGCGGCCCTCCTCCGGTCTGCTTCCTGGGCCCACCAGCCGTAGCTTCATGGTTCCCAGAGACTGCAGCCTGCTGGGAGGGGCCTGGCCCAGCAGCAGGAACAGCAGGGGCAGGAGGAAGGTGGTAGGTGAGGGCCATATCATGGTGACTTCAGGGGCAGCTGGGGCCAAGGGACCTGGAGAATGAGTAAATGTGACAATGATCACCACCTCTACCTCTAACCTCAAGCCTCTTCTGCTGGCACACACAGGATGGCAGGCTCCCTCCAACTCTGTGTATATGTGTATGGTGGCATTCATGAGTCTGGGCTCTGAGATTAGTTGATTTGGTTCAAACCCACCATTGGCCATGTAACCTTGGGGAAGTTTCAGTTGAACCTTACTGAATCTCAAACTCCTCATCTGTAAAGTGGGGATAATAATCCTTGCCTCACAGTGTGTCTTGAGTGTTCACTAAAACACTATATGTAAAACACTGTATATAAACACTTGGCACAAGCCTACCACATGGTAAGTACTCCATTCATATCTATTCTTGATTCACTCTTACATATAGGTAGAGGAGTAGCCTACCCTTTGAGTCATGGGGAGCCCCTAGGGATGGCCTCTGGTCTAGAATATCTACCCCATGCCATTGCCCTTGTCTACCTAGAACCTTGGCCACCTTCACCATAGGAGGCCCATGGAATGCTGGAGCATGTGAGGGGAGTCTAGGCTTCTACCACTTATTTACTGTGTGGCCTGTACAAGTCTGTTAAACTCTCTGAGTCCTATTCCTTATTTCTGAAGTGAGGCAGTTGAACAAATTTTGTCTGATATCTCCTCCAGCTCAGATAGTCTATGATGATATCCTCACTGGTTCAACAAATAATTGTGGAATACTTGCTTCAGGCCAATTACTAGGCTAGGTGCTGAAACACAGGAGTAATGACATCAAATATTACTTCCTGCTCTCATGATGCTCACAGAAGAGGAATCAGGAAAGGCTTTTAGAGAAGGTACAATTAACTTGGGCCTTGTTGGATGAATAGGAGTTCTCCCAGGTGGGAAAAGGGGCATTCCAGGTAGAGAGAACAAGATGGGTAAAGGAGGAAAGAGGAAAAGAGGTAAGTGTGTGCAAGAGCAGAAAATGCCCAATCTTAATTCTATACTGCAGTATTGGGAGCTTGTGGGGAAAGAGGTGGAGGGACAAGCTGGGGCCAGATGACCAAGGTCCTTGTATACCATGCAGAGGGGTTGCCTTCATCCTGTAGGAAGTAAGAGGCCGTAGGAGGACTTTAGGCAGTGACTGTACACCAGAGAGCAGGCTCCTGTCTCCAGGAGGCTGTAACCAGATGCTCTTTGGGCCCTTGGAGGGGATGAGGTTGGGGTCTGGTCCTCTCCCTTCAGCAGTCTTGGTCCTGGGTGCAGGGTGGGGGAGAAGCCTAAAGGAGAGAGTCTTAGCTGGCTAGAGCTGTCTGAGTGCCTGCAGCCACCAAGGCTGACGCTCCACCCACAAGCCCTGCTGGTGATGGGAAGCTGAGGGTGACCATTACAAACAGCTGCTGTAGCAGGATGCCTGGCCTAGGCGTCTCCCAGCTCCTCTTTGGATAAAAAGAAGGAATGGAGGTCACCACCTAACTCAACAGCAAGTCCTTCTTTGTGACATTCTCCAGCTTTGCTTCTCTCCCTCTGAGCCCAGGCTCTCTTCTCTCCCCTCCCAGAGACGCGGTGTTGCCTCCTCCCCATTCTCACCACTGAAGTTTCCTCCTACCCTGACCCCTCCTGCACTTCCTTCCCAGACTTAAACAAACGCTGTTCTCTTTTTGTCACTCCGTACTCAGGAGGCTGTGGGGGCTGTCACCATGAGTAGAGTGCTCTCATGGGATGCACTCGATCTCATTGGGATGTCCCCATGCCCACCACTAAGGAGGGTGTGGACAGCTGGGGACTGAGCCAAACTGAAGTCTGTGGGTAGGGACCTTCCCTGGATGATGGGAGAGGATGGGGAGGGCTGGGCTCAGGTGCATCCAGCTGTTAGGATCCAGTGGTCACACTGGGGGTCTGGCCTGAGAGATGAACCCCAGCCCCTGCCCCCAGGAGTCAGGATGCACCTCACCCTGCCACCAAGTTGTTCTGTGACTTCATTCAGGTGCCTTCCTCTCTCTGAGACTGTAAAATGAAGGGGTAGTACCAGGGGTCCCCCTATCTATGACATGCTGTGATGGGCCATGGGGTGGGCTAGGCTTGTGGCTTGTGGCTGATGGTAGAGGTCTTGTTAGAGGCTGTGGACAGTCCCAGGACAACAGGCTCCCTCCCCTCCAAGGACCCTCCCTGGAGGTTGGGGTGGCCTGCTGCTGCAGGACCCTGGAATCTGGCTCAGGGCAGCTCCTCTCCAGGAAAGCTGCCTAGGAGGTGGACGAGCACTAACAGGAACCAAGAGTCACACAGACAGGGAGGCCCCTCTTGCTGGCCTTCCTGCCCACCACAGCTCCCTCTGTTGCTTTTGCTCACACCAAACTTGTCCCCAAGATGCACCCTTCAGTCCCCAACCCCCTAGCCTTTGTGCTCACTGTTCCTTCTACTTGGAGTACCCTTACTTCTATCTCAGACTTAAATTCCTACCCATCTTCCAACACCCAGCTCAAATGCCACACCTCCATTCAGCCCTCCCAGGTGCCACCTTCCTTGCATTGGTGATTTGCTTCCTGTGTCCACAACCAGTCTCTGCAGGGTCTCCTTACAACTGCTCCCCCAGCGCGGAGCCAAAGAAGAGAACCGGCTGAGAAGCCTCCCTTAGAGGATGACAAAGTCTCAAAAGTGGCAGTTCTTTTCCCAAGGGAAGGAGAAGGGAATGAGATTGGGGGAGTAAGGTTGAGAGGGAGGTTCATAATAGTATGATGTAATAATAAATATATATAATAATAATTATTATACATTAAAATTTTTTATTGAATATTTATCTCCATGTTACAGAGAAGCTAAATAACTTGCTCAAACAGGATTCAAACACAGGCAGCCTGGCTCCAGAAGCCAGGCTCTTAGCCATGAGAGACAAGAACATTGGAGGAGATAGGGGGGAGGGGAGGTAGGGGGAGAGGAGGAAGGAAGAAGGAAGGGAGGCAGGGAGATGAATGAAACTCCACCCTGGTGCTGGGTGATTTATGGCCCAGCTGCTGTGTGAGGGCACCGGGGTAAGTGCCAGCAGAGAGTGCAACCAGTAACAGATTAGGATCCTGCCAGCTTGAAGCAGAGAGGCACCTGCTCCAGGTACTGCCAGGGAACTCTGGCACTTGGCCTGACCTGGCCCCCAAGAGGGCTGAAAATGCCCAAGGGTATTCAGGAGACAGCATTGGGGGTGCTGTCCTGGCGGGCACCAGACTGGGGATCCCTTGAAGCCCCTTCTTTCTGGCTCCTTGGGGATGGGGTGGGGCTTCCCTTCTCAGGCCTGAGACCCTTCCTGTGACCCGCGACTATGATGACCTGAAGAACTGCCAGCAAATGGACTCTGTGCTCTACCTGTCTGGACACAGGACATGTGGAGGTTGAATGTGGGCCCTCTACCCACCCTCCATCCTCTTCCTTCCCCCACCCACTTCCCAGCAAAATGGGTGGTTCTGGTCTGTCTAGTTGGAAAGCCTGGCCCATCCCACCTTTTTGACCCCAAATCACATTTGAACCTACCTTGCCCCTTCCCTTGCTTCCTCCTTGGGTGAGAAGGCAGAGAAATGGTTATACTCAGCATGTTCACAAACCACACACGCAGACACGCTGAGGCCTGGGCGCAGCACCCTGGCCGGGCACAGGGCCAAGCTCCCCAGTTTGGTTACTTCTATTAGAAAGCAGGTTGGCCAGCAACTGGGGGTCTAGGCTAACTGTCCACAGAATCCCCATCTAACCGACCCCAAGCCTTCAGGAACCTTCAGAGGCTTGCAGACCCCCAGAGAGTCAGAAGTGGGACAGACAGACAGGACAGCAAGAGACAGACCCGGGCCAGGGTGAGGCGGGGGCTCACCAGCTGGAGCGCAGGCAGTCGGGCTGCGGCCAGGGCGCCGGGCCGAGCAGCGTTACTTGGCCTCCTGGGGCGTCCGGGGCCCTTTTATCCGGCAGCGGCCCACTAGTGCCCCCCACCCCGCCGCCTGCGGAGAAGGCCCCGCAGGCCCCGCCCCCGGGCGGACCTGGGCCTGTGGGGAGCCCCGCCCCGCGGTCCCTGTAGCTGCGCCCCTCCGCCCCCCCGTCCGACGAGGGAGTGGGCGGCCGAACGCCCGCACAGCCCGTGGTGTAGGTGTCCCCGCCGGCCGGGAGACCCCGGGGTCGCGAAATTGCTGAGGGGCGGGGGGCATGTTTGCCGCGGAGGAGACTGGCGCGCTGCAGCAGGAGGGACTGTGGGAGGATCAGGGATCCCGTGAGAGGACGGCGCCGGGCGCCGGCGGCTGCGTTGGCCCGAGGGAGTGCCATGTGGCTTCGGGAGCCCCTGTCCGAGGCTCAATTTCCTTCTCTGCAAAACAGTGACATCCGCCGCAGAGTTGCGCTGGGAATTATATTCAGTGAGTACGGGTAGGTGCCAGTGGCCACAGCACAGCGCCCTTCACGTGGGGGTGCCTCACTTGTCAGGGGCTGAATCCCAGGGGCTTGGTTACTCAGGCCCTGCAGACTCCCTTATGTTGGGCCTGCTCCTTTCAAAAGAGGTCGGGATGGTGCGGTGCAGGAGCGCTCTCTTTGGAGTGACAGAAGGACCCCTCCATTGCCCTGGTCCCTGGGAATTTATTGAGTACTATGTAGGCTGAGGCCTCTATTCTGTCCATTGTACAGTTGGGAACACTGAGCCCCAAGAGACACGAGCTGCTCCCCAGGTAATAAACAGTAAAGGGTAGAACTTGAATCTTCCACTACAACCCCTTACAAGGTGGAATGAGGCTATCCTGGCCGTGATGGCTGCATAGGGGGACGGAATGAGTGGAGGATGGTTTGGGGCAGGAAGAGGAAAGTACAAAAGGCTGACAGAGGGAAGTCCCCTAAGCTTAATTGAGCACTGGAGATCTGGATCCCAGCCCTTTTCCTCCAAATTATTTTTCCCAGTTTTGTCCCCTCCCAGTGCCTCAGTGCCCCCATCTGTAAAATGGGCAGGGTTCCAGCCTCACAGCTTCCTCCCTAGGCCCAGATCAGTGCAGCCTGGTTCCTCCACTTCCCCCCACCTTGCCTGAATGTCCTGAATGAATGAAAGGCTCATTCATTCAGCAAACCTTTCCTGATTTTCTCCTGCATGATAGACAGTGTGCTAGAGTGCTAGACAATACAGGGCAATGGGTGAGAGGGGGAGGCAAACACCAGCACCAGCCGAATGTGATGGCAAGGCGGACCTTTCTGATCCCTGGCTGACAGCCAGGTCATGCTGACCCAGTTGCTGGAGGACTACTCTCCACCCCTGGCTGCCCATGTCCCAGATGTCCCCCAAGTGCCCCTGCCCCACCCCAACTGGGCCCAGAGCATTCCCTGTGGTGAATCAACGGGAAAGAATGCTCCCAGCCTTGGGTCAGTGGCAGCAGCCCAGCCCCTCCTCCAGGGGCAGTGAGGCTGCTGTGGGTGGGGGTGTCAGGTACCCCTTGGCCCCCTCCCCATGCCTAGCCACCTCTCATGCTGAGCCAGGAACAACACGGAGGGCTTGGAAAATGTGGACTCTACCTGCTGCCAATCACCCTTCCTGGCCTGGCTGCCCAGAACTAAAAATACCCTGGAGGCTGCCGCAGGCCCAGGCTAGAGCCCAGGGAATGAATGGAGGTTGCCCAGAAGCCCTTCAGCCTGCAGGACTCTGTGCAGAGGCTGAGGCTGGGAGCCATGGAAGGAGGGCTCTTCCAGGAGTCACTGTGGGTCCCCCTCCTTGAGAAGTCGGGGGCTCAGGGCCCAGGCCCAGCCCCATCACTTACTAGTAGTGAGATTTTCTCAGCTGAGTGGCCATCTCCTCATCTTTAAATGATATTGCTGTAGGGGTCAAATGGGACAATTCAGTTCATCTCCATAAACTTTGGCTTGACGAACACTGCCGGCTCTCCACTTCACACCCGACTGTGCTCAGCCTCACCCAGCGCTGACATCCTCCGCTGTCCTCTTGGCACACGGGTCTCTGTCCGTCTTGCCCCTGGGGGCCCCTTGAGCTTCTTAATCTCTAAACCCAGATTCTATCACAGGACTTGGCACTTAGCAAGTGCCCAACAAATCCTGGTGGATTGAAAAAAGGGGCCTGTTTTGTGCTGGTCCTTGAGGCAGAGCAGGGGCGCATGCAAACATTCCAGATGTGATCTCTGTCCTTTAGGCATCTGTAGGGTGGGAGATGGAGACAGACCCAGAATCCACCAACAGGCGAGGCACTGTCATCGTCATTGTAACGGTGCATGTGGAGTGGCTGCTTTATGTATCATCTCACTTAATCCTCTTGAAATCGCTATGGATAAATACTTTGATCACCTTCCTTTTACAGGTGATGAAACTGGGCTACAGAAAGGTTAGTGATTTGGCCAAGGTCACGCAGCTTTTATGTGCAAAGGGTAGCAAGTGGCAAGCTGGAGTGGAAGCCCAGGGCTGTGCAGGTACAGAGGAGAGAAGGCTGAGGATTGAGGGCCTCATGAAGACATGCCTTGCGGGTTGGATATGATCCACAGGTAGAGAGGTGGGAAGGTGGGTGGTCGTGAATAAAGCTTCGGAAGCCATGGAGCACTCTACAGGTGTCAGGAATTAGTCCCTCTCTCTTAGCCCTCACTCAGCCCTGGGCCCCAGGGGATGATGCATCACCACCTGCCCACCCCTCCCAGGGTGAGGAGCTGAGAGGTTCAACAATCCACTGTGAATCTCTTCCCTGTGGGGTGTTCACCCCAATCAAGGCCTGTGCTTCCCAGCCAAGTGGGGAGACGAAATCTGTGGAAAGCTGTGGCCTGGGATATTGCCAGCAGCACCTGGGGAGAACCTGGCTCCAGTTCCCAGGGCCATGCTCCCAGGGCAAGCCTTTCTCCTCAGTGGCCTTCAAGACTCAGTCTAGCTCCACCTCCATTGAGAATGGATGAAATTGTGCAGCTTGGGAATGGGGACACTTGAGTTATTATTCAAACTGAAATCACTTTGCCGAGCCCACTGTCTGGTCTCCTGAATCCATTTGCACCCCTGCCCTCTGACATCCAAGAGCCGAATTGCTCTCTGGTCTTCCCTGTGTCTCAGCTGTCCCTGACTTCAGTAAGTCCTCTGCAGACTGATTTACCTAATGTGCTGTCATGCTTCAGCTCAAGAGTCTGCAGTGTCTCACTGGTGCCCACAGGATGCAAAGAAAACACTGTTATTCTTCCTGTTCCCTCTACTCCTTTCCTCTTCTTACTTCATTTTACATATTCTACCCACCCTTCAGGCATAACTCAGATTCCAGCTTCTCTGTGAATTTGTGCATGGAAGCTGCAAGAACGCTGTTGCAGTATAAGGTGCTGCAGGAGTCACAGAGCTGCGCCGGAGGCCATCTCTACTCTCAAGTGGCTCTGCAATGGGAGAGATGAATCAGAGACACAGCAGTGATGGAGAGCAGGCTAGCAGAAAGCTGGACAAATGGAAGACAAGAGACTATTTCAACATAGGACGTGTTTCCTCTGCAGAGAGTTGTTTAACTGGGGGCAGGGCCTTTATTCACAGGGGCGTGGTAGCTGAGGGGATTTCAAGCAGTTCTGTGGGCCGGGAGAGGAAGGAGGTGAATCTAGCCAGGCTGGAGAGGCTAGCCAGGGGGAGCATTCCTGGGGAGAGAGAGATGAGCTGGCTGTGGGAAGGCGAAGAAACTGGGGAAAGAACAGGGCTGGTTAGAGCTTTTAGGAAGTTTTGCTTTGTCATATTCAATGTCACCTTCCCCCATTCCTCTGGAAGCTTCAGAAAAATCTCCATTACTCAGGCCCACCACAGCATTTGCAGACTTGGGCATGAGTCAAGGGGGGCCTCAAACTATATGTCTAAGTATCTAAGAGTTAATATAAAACTAATTTATTATTAAATAAAACACAGCCTATTCTCCTGCCTTGACAAGTACACCTTTGAAAAAACCTGGAAGCCAGGTTTGAATCCAGAACTTTCCACTCCTTGGAGTTCTGTGCAGAACATGTTATGGGGAATGTCTGCCCATGGCCCTGAGCCCAAGTGTGGCCCACCTGCCTCCCCACCCAACCCTCTGCTCCATCCCTTCTACTGTGACAGGAGCACCTGCACACCAGCTCTGTGCCGACCTCCACAACAGCCATCCTTTGGCTGCCGAGCCTGAGTGCACAGCCTGGAGGTAGACTGCACTCATGGAAAGGGCCAGAAGCAGGCTTGGACTTCTTGGGCAAGGAGTTCCTGGAGCACAGGTGTGGAAATGGGGTGGAGACTCCAGCGGGCACATGCTCTTGGCCCTGTGAACTCGGTGCCCTTTGAGGAGAGGGTGACTAGGCGAGGGCCACAGCAGTGCCCCTGAAGCAAGGAGGAGCAGAGAAGGGAGCCCTCACCCAGGGCTAAGGATAGCAGGGGCAGGGGGCACGTGCAGGGGGTCCACGGCCTATAGGTGGCCCCGGGGTAGGGGTGGAGTGCCTAGTTACTCAAGTTATGTTTAGAGAGCTGGTAGGCTTCCAGCCCCAGAGTCAGTGGGGGCCCTGCCTTACCTTGGCAGAGGTGTGGGGGACAGGGGGTGCTCTGAAGTTTTCTGAGGACGATGGGGGTGTTTGATTAGAACTGAACTGTAGGAACCTAACTCCTCCCTGGTGCTGTCTCAAGCTGGTATTTAGCTCTTCAGAGAGTCACACCTTTGGTGGGAAAGGGGTGTGGGGTCTGGGAAGAGGGATGTTTTTGGGGGAGGCCAAGGAGGATCTTAATAATCTGTAAGCTGCTAAAAGGCAGAGAAACTGACTTAGACACCCCCCCCATTGCCACTTCTGCCCCTGGGAACCCTAGCACAGAGGCCCTGAACTCCCCCAGATGTCGGGCCATCAGTCTGATTTGACAGCAACAGCTAAACCCTCATCGGTATCCCATAGCCTCATGTATGTCCCCTTCCCCACCCTAGGTAGATAAAGTCTCTCACCTCATCACCCAGATTCTCATATCTATGTCCTCCCCTGGGGAAGTGGTCATGGCTGAGGTCATATCATTGTCCCCCAT